TGTTTGGGTTTCTACAATATGATGTTGGTTGCCATGGAAAACCTTAAAGCCATTTTTGTCTTCAGATGTTTTTTTTCCCCTGTTGCATCTCACAGAGTGTTGCACTTGCGTTTCTTACTGTTGCTTACACGAATAACGTCTGATGTGGTTGAGAAAGCAACTTGTTAAGCTGGATGTTGATCATTTCTTTACCAATAAACAAATTACTATCAGAAACTCCTCCATCAGAGGGCAGACGATAAGTTCAGCATTCCAGAAAACAGCTTTCTGGGTAGCATACAAGTTTGTTAAAGATACAGTAAATATATTTAAAAAAAAAATTATACAGCTGATATATAGAGTTAAGGAATAAGAATGTGTCCATCCTCACCAGTCACTCTCAGCCTGTAGTTGTAATCAAACTATTTAAATAACAATAAATGCATGAAATATATTGCAAAGTGGTGTAAACTCTGCGTGAAGATAAAATGTCTCAGTTCAATCGGCCACATCAGTGAATGCCGAGAAGTTTCTCAGCTTCCCCCCCCCTCCCTCTATTGCAAACAGCATTCTTATGATAATGGAATAATGCTGCTCCTTAGTTAATTGTGTATAGGCGATAGTGGTGGGCACCTATTGTTGCTGGCTCACATGGAGCTAAAGGAAAAAGCTGGAGGGGATTATCTCCTTTATGGAACTTCTCAAATTCCTCCCCAACTCATAACTTATTCAGTGTGTTAAATGTTTGTCTTTATGTGATTTGCAGAACATGTTGACGGGTCTATTGGTTGGATCTGTCTATTTTTATTAAGAGATTAAGCAATTTTTTTTTTATGTAAAAGTTGCCTCTCTTGCAGGCAAAACCAAACACGTTTACAAGTAGCTTAGCTTTCCAGAACAAAGCTAGAAAAATGTACAGCTGGTTTATGACATAATGTTTGTTTTAACGCGTTCAAAACATAATCCATTAAAGAAAACAAGACACCAACTGAGCATTTGTTGGATGCTTGTTGATTGAAATCAATCTTTAACATGCAGTTTAATTAGCTCATGTTTGCTAAAGCAGAATGTCTTATCTTATCTTATGAAGCAACTAACAGCTCACTCTGCAGTCAGCTGCTTAGATTACTTGATGACTTTTTTTTTATCAACTCTAGCAGCTCTGAAACATATTTTGTGACCCATTTTTTTCCATGACTACAAGTTCCACATTGTGCCCTGACTTTATCACTGGGAATAAATGGAAAAAATTGTGAATTATGTTGAGTGTTGTTGTTGTTTTTTTTACCTTTACAGTATTACTCCAGAAAACTGCTCTTGAAGATGTGGCACACTCAGTTGTACATTCATAAAGTTTGTGAGTGGAGCTGAAGTGGGAGCTGAAAGCAATGTACATGCCAATGTTTTTGAACTGGTACGTTTCTGTAGCAGTATTTTCACTTTTCTTTTCATTGTTTGCAGGTGATCTACAGAAGTTGGAACTTGGATTTGTGAAAATGATCCTTACCTGTGGGTCAATCTGTGAGTCAGTAAACTAAGTAAGTACATTTACTCATGTCACAATTTTAAATTGTGAAATTGATTAATCGCTGCTGTGTCCTGTTATTAGCATTTAAGCAACAGAAACTTATGTATGTATTTATTAGGAAGATTTACAACTAAATGTAAAACTTTAATTTGCAAAACGACCATTTGCAGGAAATGGTTAAGCAGGAAATAAACCCAAAAAACAAGATGTGACGCAGAGGTCGATTTCTCTTAGTCTCTGTAAAAAAAAAGAAAAAAAAAGAAAAAGACAAAATAGAGAAAAAATTGTTTAAATGAGGCAGATTTGTTTTGATCTCCAAAATCGGGCAAATGACTCCATTCAGAGTAACAACTGAAAAGTTTGACAGAACTTAAACTTTGCTTATCAAGCCTGAACGAGAAACCAAGATTCCATGCACAAATCGAATTAAATTTAAGAACAAATGAAATACAAAATCACAGAGTTATTCTGGAAAAAGGTTTACAAATCCATCTTTAAGGCTAGGAAACCATAGTCAGATTAATTAGCAAAGAAAACATGAAACAACCTACCATACCTTTCCAGGAATTGCCGGCCTACAAAAATTCTTTCAAGAGGACAACAGCAACTTATAAAACTAATGAACAAAACGAATACAAAGCCTGTCTCATATTTGGTAAAAAGAAAAAAAAATCCTCCTAATCCACTTTAACTACATCAACTTCTCAGGATTTCTAATGACATTTTTTTCATAAAAGAAAACTCCTGTTATCCATTAGCCAATATTAGTGGATAGCCGTCCAGAAATAATAAAGTTATTGTATAAGTCTTTGGGTTATTCAGTTAAAAAATGAAATCAAATTAATTGTCACACTTTTCTTTAAACTGTGTGTTGGAAACTTAGCTTCAATCAAAACATGTACTGTCGCTTTAAATTCCAGTTTTTCTACCGGCTGCTCTGGTTGTAGCTAATTATCTCAGCTACGAAATTTCTCTTTCTCGTTAGCTGTGAGCTAGCTATGATTTGCCAAATAGTGAGGATTAATAATGGCTCCTTTATAGTTCGCAGACTAAATAACTTGTTAATAAATTATCTGCTTTTATTTGGCATAATGTAAATGTCAGAGTTCCCTGTTGAAAAGCCTGTGTTTTTATCACCATAGCAACGAGTGAAATCTTTATTGCAGCCCACAAATAAGGTAGGAATATGCTGTGTTTACATTGTAAGTTTTTTTCACAGTCGTGTTGCCTGTATTTGTAAAATGCAGGCGAGTAATATGATTTTATTTAAATAATAAGTAAATTGGAGTAGTAAGACAAAAAAAACAACAACAAAAAAAACAAAAAAAAACGAAACGAGCAAAAAAGTTCATGCTAACCTAACTGAATTAACTGTTACTAGGTCGTAGGAGCTAAGCTAACTAGCTTGGAGACATCAAATTATATTCAAGTTTAAAATCTCATATTTAATCAAGCAAAATTTCAAAAATACAAAAAGCTATATGATTTTTGATATGCAAAGCAATGTAAATGTAAGAAGGGGGGCGGGATATATTTAGGTAGCGCAACCTTTTTTTTTTATCAGTAGACTGACTTAGCTATAAATTACAGCAGAACTAATACTAATAGGTTTGTTTGAGTTTTTATCATTTTTGCAAACTCCCAGGCAGTTTATTTTGACCATCATGCTTAGTTTTGCTTTCATTTTGCCATCATTTTGTGTTGGTATAATAATACATTGATATTTACTGTACTTGCATCAATATATTACAATTATTTTGAACTATTTAGCTGTGCTATTTCAGTAGTGAGGTTTCACAGTGGGGCACTTGGTAGCACTGGTAACTTGCAGCAAGAAGGTTCAGGATTTGAATCCCAGCCTGGGGATTTCTTTTTCTGCCTTGAATGTTCTCTCTGGGTACTCCGGCTTGCTCCCACAGTTCTAAAAACATGACCGTTAGCTCAGTTGAATACTCTAAAATTACTTCTCTTTATGAGTGTAGGCATGTGTGCATGGTTGTTTGTTTTTGTGTTTCCCTGTGATAAACCGGCGACCAATCCAGGGTATACCCTGTTTCACACCCAGTGACCACTTGAGATAGGCTGTGTCCCCAACCCCCGTGTTCCTGCAAGGACAAGCAGGTAAAGACAATGGGTGGATTTCAGTACTTTCTGAGGGAAGTGAAGCACCCATTTTGTTGCTGGGAAAGTTTTTCTGGTCAGTGTTTGTGTTTTTGAGAGCAAATGTATGCATTTATAGATTTGGCAGCAGAATTGCTGTGGTTAACTTTATTTTCACAAAATATTCCATTAATCTTATTAAGATATTATACTACAGTCAACAAGTCACACATGGGTGACTTACAAAAGACCAAAACCCATATAAGTGTGATTTATTTTATTTTGTGTGTGTTGTTTTCTATCCTTGTGTTGCTTTTGAATTTTGTGCAGTCTTTATATTATAGGGTTGGCTCTTGGTATTCATGGTTAATTTTCTTATTCATCGCACCTTTTATCTTTCTGTTATGTTTGTCTTTTTAGTTGATGTCTCTGTTCTGTATGTCTTTGAACCTTTGTGCTCTGAAGCCGATTATAAGGGTACAAAAAGCAGTTTTGTTTCCACATATGTGGTGATTTACTTTTGTCTGAATGACTCCACAAACCATCAATACCACATGAACCCCCCCCCCTTTTTAAGAACAAACTTTAAAGTTTTTTGTTGTGATTTTTTTTTTATGTTTTATGTAGAACTACACAAAGTAGCATAACAAATTCTATAAAGTTCTATACAGCTCCATTGAACGCATCTGTCCGTCACCCAAAAATGTAAAGAATATGAGTTAAACCGTCAGGCCGGGCGGGGAGAACATTAATCAGTGAAGCTGGAGAAGCTGGAGCAATCCAGAGCTCGGTTCTGCAACAGAGCTTTGTGGAAAGAAGCTATCGGTGCAAAACAAGACAAAACAAAAAGCAAAGTAGACATGCTTCCAGTTTGCAAAAATGCTGCTTGTTTTTTTGGCATTAAGCTGTGGGAACGGGGCTGAACACATTAACATACGAACTGCACTTTTCAGATATTTGGCAACCATTAGTCCTCTTCTTTCTATTTTACAAACAAACTACTTTTTGGGACTAAGTGCATGAAAATGTGAAGTTTTAAAGTGGAAAAAAATGCTTGGTTTTGTTGGGTTTGTTTGTGATTTAATCCTTTTGTGTTTGTTATGTATTTGTATGCTGTTCTTCTGTCTGTTTCGAGTCCTTTCTGATATTTTCTGTAGCTTATGTCTATTTTAGGCAATTCTTTTTGTCATAATTTTCCCCCCCATAAATATGATTAGCTCTTGTTTAGTTTTCTAATTCTAAATATGCAACAGATAAAACTTGGTGATTTTCTGATTTTTTTTGTATTAAGCATTTTTATTTGATCGATTAACCTTATCTAAGGGTGCAAAACCTCCTGTTTTACTTTGCCTTTGCGTCGTGGACTTTCGTGGAGAGGCGTGTGTCCTCAAAAGGTTGCGCGTTTTGGGCGACAAAATCAGCCCCACAAATGCGGTGCGGTTTAAAAACGGGCGATTTCTTCAACTTTTTCCGAATTTAAATAGTTAAAATACTTCCTGTTTTCGAAGCGTCCGTCCGAAATAGCGGACATTTCCTGCTGAAATCGGATGCAGAGAGTGCACCTTTGCGCAGAGGCTGGTTTTATACCGAGTGGCTCCTCTGGGTGCACAAAGACAGCGGCTCGCAGAGGAACTTGTTCAGAGCGAACCGGGGACGCTGGGAGGCGAAATCCTCAACCTCCGGAGTCCGAATCGCAACAACAGCGCTGTTTACCTCCTGAAACCCTCTATTCTGCTTCCCACCTCAACAATACAAGGTAAGGAGTTGTTTTAGAAGCCTTTCGGTGGTAACGGAGCGCTGCGGAGCGGGTTAAATCCTCTTCGCTCTGGCTTCCCGAGCGTGGTTGTTTTTGCAGAAAATGGCGTCATCGCCCTCTTGTTTCTGCTTGGCCGCGGCGGGGAGAGGAGTAGTTTCAGCGACTTGTAGCGGCGCACACACGTAGCGCATACTTCCTTAAAGGCAAAAATCGCGTACTGCGACGTCTTTTGTTCAATAATAAGGCGTTAAAATGCGAAATACTTCGCGTTTTGGCTCAGCAGAAGGACGCGCAAAGATGGAAGGGTCACCGGTCTTGTGCGCCAGGCTGCTTCTTGGAAAAGGTGGCACGGAGCCGCTAAACGCAGCGTTTTACAACGGCTCGAGACCCATCCAAATGACCTCGAATGATTTAGCCTTCTCCCCACGACGTTGATGGAGATATTTATGGCAGCTCTGCGCCGTATCTTTGTGTATAATTTACTCGGGTTAGCTCGTTTTTACGCCGCACTCCCCTGCCATGCTGCAATCGTTCCGAGGGGCCTCTCACACACACGGCTTGAAAAGGTGCATTATACCCTTGGCTTTTCCCTCTGATCAAATGAAGCTGCTCCTTTGTTGCTGGAAATAGCGGCTACAATATAAGCGTGTAAAAGGAGATTTTCGAGAGGGGGGGCAGGGAGGTATTGGAGGGGGGGTGGGGGGGCGATGCAAATCGTGCCATGAGAAACGGCGACCTGCCCCTGCGCTCTGGTTTTGCAGCTGAACCAGACGAGGACGTGCTGAATGAGGTGGAAATAAAAAAAGTCCCCTGGATGAATCGCAGACTTTTTCTCTAAACTGCACGGGGAAGTCCAGGCGCTGCGCAACGATTGTGTTGCCGCTTTGCGCAGAGAAACGGTGGCAGCTGCTGTAACCGCCGCCGAGCGTTTCACCGCGATATTTTTTTTTGTCCTTGTTGGCCAGCCTTTTGTAAATAGTTGAGGACTCTAGGATAAAAGAGCACAATAGTATTCAAGCGGGCCCTTTATGGCCTGTGAATGTGGTCCTAAGTCCCCACTCCGACAGCTACGTGTATGCGTCCTCGCTCTGGCCACCACACATCCAGCACAGCGAGGCCACTGGCTCTCGCCTGTATCCGCTCTGCTTGGTTCCTCCTGTGCCACAGAAGTCGATGCCTGGTCGTGCGCTCTGAGCTGCAACGCAGGTCAGCACAAAATCGAAGCAATCCACGGAACATCCTCGTCACAGTCGCTCCGTGCCCGTATTTTTATTAAGTTTTCAGAGTTATGCAACAGAATTGCCGCTTCATTAACCTGAAATCCATCACCGAGGGTGGATGTGTTCGCGTGAAATATCAGGGAGATCGGAAAGGACCTCGCCACTTTCGCGTTGAATTAAAAAGGATCTGTCATTTGCAAATCACCCAGTGCCATTTGCGTCACAGCCCGCGGCCTCGCACGCCCATGGGGGGGCGACGGAGTTGCAAATGGAGACTGTATGTGTGTGCTGACGCTGCCCCAGCTGAAAAGGGAACCAATAGACACGGACTCGGGCGGCAACGATCGCCAGCGCGCCGCCACTCTCGGGCAGTGCACCGACTTGGGATTCCGTATCAACGCGGAAGATCGCGCAGTTTTATTCTGGGTTTCGTCGGACTTTCCATCGCTTTGGCCGAGATGCGTAAGTGGATGTTACACACACGGCTTAAACCTGCTACGGAGGCCAGCCGGAGAGGAGTAGCCTATATGCGTGTCCTGTTCTCTTCCCTCATGGTGATCGCTGCATGTGGCCTCTGAGAACTCGCTCTTTAACGGATAACTGTCTTTTCCACTGGATCGTAATGATATGGCCGTAAAACCTTTATTACCAGCGCAGAGATCGCTCGGATATTTTACGATTCCAGCGCTGGTTCGGTCACTTTTTCTCAGTTTTTTGTTTGATTCGCGACGCGCCACAAGTTTCTGCTTTGGAAATGAACGGGGCGTATTTTATCCAGGAAGGTTGCATTTGTTGTAGATGCGCTTTTGGGCACTGCGCATGGTGTCATTCACCGGACCTTAAAGGAGGCGGAAAATCACGAAATTCTCTAATGTAAGTTAATTAAATGTGGATAAACTTGTTAAGCTACAATTTTCAGTAAGAATGTTTATAAATAGCCATAATACGCTCATACACAAACTTTCACATTAAAAGGTAATATATATATATATATATATATATATATATATATATATATTAAATCATTTTTAATTTATGATTTCAAGGAAAAACATTGCATCGTGCTAAATTTAACCTTTTCCCCCCATTTTGTCAAGTTACAGCCCTACTGTATTTTATTGAATTTTCAACTGAAAGACCCACAAAGTAGCACTAATTATGCATGATTTAAAATAAAATAAAATATGAAAAGTGGCATGCATTTGTAATCATACCCCTTTACCGTGATTCACTTAAACAAGATGCAGTGCAACCATTTTCTCCTATAGTCTCAGCTTTGTAAAGTAGAGTCCACTTGGCTGCAATTTAAATAATCTCAGTTTAAATGCAGGTATTCTGGTGATACTGTTTTGTGAATACCAAAACATCAAATAGCACAGTGATAAAGTTGGGGGAAGTTTAAAGCAGGATTCGGGTCAAAAACTAAATCACAAAAGATCTACCTCATCTGCAAACCTACCAAAATATCTAATCTGAAATGCCAGATAATTACAGCATTGATCATGGAATAATAAAAAAAAAGACACAGCAAGTGAGTGGAATGACTTAGGGTGAAGAACTGTGAACTTGAACTTTTTGACCTAGACTTTATTTAGCAGAAATCAAAGACTGGTTGTTTCCCCTATGGTGAAACGTGGTGATGGTATTATCATGCTGTGGGGATACTTTTCTTCAGCAGGGACAGGGAAGCTGTTAAAAGCTGATCAGATGGATGGAGCACAATCGTAGAATAAAAACTATTGGAGGGGCTAGAAAACTTGAGTCTGAAGTGGAGGAACACCTTTTAGCATTACAGCAGCCGTAAACATCCAGAGCTACACTGAAATGTTTTATATCTGTGTTTTGGAATGGCCCAGACCTAAATCAGTGGCAGAACTTTAGAATTACTGTTCACAAACACACACAATCACATCTGAGTAAGCTTGTGCTATTTTGTAAAGAGGAATGCCCAACAACTTTTGTCTTTGGATGTGCAAAACTGCTAGGCAGACGCTTACAGACTTGGCACTGCTATTGCAGAAAAATCAGGGTTTTCCGAACTATTTACTCAGATAGGCTGAGAAAAGAGAGGTCACATTTTTCCTATTTTTAGTCATAAAAATATGTGAAAATCTTGTATATTCTTCACAATTATGAAGCCACTTTCCTTCACAAGTGGCTTCCTTCACAGCCACTTTGTGCTGATCTATCTGATATATCAGCCCCACACCCCCCAAATGTACATTGAAGTTTTGGATATAATGTGATAAAAGTAAGACAAGTTCAAGGTCTGTTGATCAGATTTATGCAAAGACTGTTTCCTAGAACAAATACACAGAAGAGTGATAACTTTACTCACTGTGGAGAGAATCTATGGTGGAATTTAAGAAGGATTCGGATACGTGTCGGTGCAACTTAAGGGTTTAATACTTTATATAAAGTGTTTTATATTTCCAGTATCATGAGGACTTTTAATTTCTTTGTCATAAGATTAACTTGACACAACAGCAGCAGCAAGGATTTACTGCTTTGTCTGAGTCCAGATCTCGCAGTTGTCAGTTTTTGGTTTGCAGCAGTCCACTTATGTCATTGTGTGATTCAGTCAGTTTAATGATGTATTACTGTGTTCAGTCAATGAGTCAGCCTGTCAGACCCATGAGCAAGTGTAGTCATTCAGCAAACCTATTAACCTGTCAGCCCCATTACTAGTCTGCGAAGCAAACAGAAGCACATGTGGTGAGGGATCCACTCAGCCAGGCAACTAGAAAATCAGCATCTGGCTCCCAGTTAGTAGGTCAGCTAGTTGTTCACCATGCACACTCACTGAACAGCCCGGCCGAACTGATATGTTACTGTTTCAATGGTGAAGGGGGAACTTTGTTTTGGGCGCAGCTTAACCTCTCAACAAAGACCTGCCTCTTTTCCTTCGTAGTGATAGAAGGGCCTCTAACTTCTTATAACTTCTTCTCAAGTCTGCTGTAACAACAGCGTTCGCTCAAGATGGAGTTGCTTTAGGTAATATGAATTATTACTTTCCTCTCTTGGTTTCACAAAATACAGCGCCCCATGTTTAAAATTTAGGTGTGATTTTTCAGAGCTGTGAATCCACACCTGGCCTGAAAATGCCCATTATGCACATCCCATGGCTATATTTATTTAAATCTGTGTCTGTGCTCCCTTTACACACTCTCTGCTGCTGCTTCTCTATATGCTGCTCTAAAATGCTGGGTCTGTGCATAATTTAAAGTAACACTGGACAGTGAACTCCATTTGAAAAGTCTCACTATACATTTAAGTATAGGTTTGTTGCTGTGTTTGGTTCCCACTGTTCTGTCTGCATGCCTTGTCTTAAAGTTTATTCAAAAAAAAAACAGAGCTGACTTTGGATTTTCGTTTGACACTATCTCTTTCAGTCCGGTGACCTTTGAACAGATAAAAATGGAAAGGCAAAGAAATTTAATGATAAAATGACAAATAATACTCTTAGTTTGAGTTGTTGTACACCTTTCAGGATGGACTTCAGACATTGATAATAAGGTGCTAGGTGCCTCCTGCTCCAGTACAATTAGTACATTTTATTTCATGGCATGGGGCTATAACCAACACACGTTAGTCAGTGTTATGTTAATTTTCAACTGGTTGGTTTTGTCTAAAATGTTTAGGTATATTCCAGATCCAGGCTTTGCATCACCTTAATGTTGGGCAACTTTATCTATTTACAAACAGTTTTGATTCATATTCAGTCTCCTGTTGTGAGTCAAAGTGGTAGTTTCAAACTTAAAACATTGTACCGATTTTTAA